CAGGCAGCTTAGCTTGTTCCTGGCTTTTCCATTGGCAGAGTCCATGTTGCTGCCAGAGAGCCTAGTCCTTTGGAGCCAACACCATCCGCTGCAGGCACAGTAGCTGCTAGACCCACATGGTTGTGTGTTCCTGGGTAAGAGCGCACAGGAACTAACAGGGCAAGTGCCCCACCAGGTGGAGGGGGTGGGGCAGGGGTGGGGAGAGAGCGCTGTTTTGTTCCCCGGGGATTATTTTAGTTTGGGTTTGGGACAGACCAGGTGCCCTTTCAAAAGAACCAATCAACTTCCCAGGTTCCCACAGGCTTTTTGATGGGCTTACCTTTCAACGAATCCCTTCTTTCCTCCGGCTAGACTGACAGGCCTCTATGGTCCAGCTCCTCCCCTGTGCCATTTTGATTTCTATTATGCACGGGCCTGCCTGCCCCTGCTTCCACCTGGTAATCTGGTAGCAGGTAGCAGGGGGGACAGAGGAGTGTTAATCCTTTAGGCAGAGCACAGTGCTTCAGGAGTGAAGCTGTAGCTTCTTGGCCCACCCAGCAAGCCCAAAGGCTCCTGCTTCCCAGTTTATTAAGCCCATCTTCTAGTTCGCTTTGCTCTCTTCCCTTCTCAATATCTAGGTAGACGCTGGCAATAACAATTCTGTCACTGGCTCAAGTAGCATTGCGACTCTTCAGTTTCTGTCTGCAAACTCATAACATGGGATCATGGTCCCATGCATGGCAATCAGGATGGCCACGAATTTCTTAAAAATATGTGCTTTTTATTTTACATGCTGTGGAAAATGGTACATATAGGAAAGTGCTTCAAGTATGAGTTCTGACTTTTGCTTTTTTTCAGATGGAATAAGAGGGACCAGATTTATGCCCCTGCTTTGAAAGAAAAATACATCAAAGAATGGCTTTCAAGACACTGAATATCAGGCAATGAAGGACAGTGCTGCCTGAGAAATGGGAAACAGGTGAATGAGCCCACTGATTGCCCACGTTTCCTGCCCTGAGTTTCTGGGTTTCAGGGGAGGGACAGGGAACTAAAGAGGAGCCCAGCTGATTCCCTGAACAAAGGAGACAGAGCTGTGAGTGTGGAGAGACCATCAGAGCTTGAGTTCATGGACAGAGTGCAGGGAACAGTGAGCTGCACAGAGTACTCTGTTGAGAAAACTCCCAGCGGGGCCAAGAGACCAAAGGAAGAGGCTGACAATCCAGAATCACATCAAAAGTTAATTGGGAGACCTTACTGACAGAAGCAGGCCCTGGATGGCTCAAGACTGTAGAACTCCACACTCAAAAAGGATGGGGCTTTGTACATACAGCCAAGTGGCCCATATTAATACATGTGGCTTACAGCCAAGTAGAAGGCGCTTTCTAAAAGTTGTATAATTAAAAGCAGTAAGCAATTTAATGGGCCCCTGTACCTGGGGAAGCATCTTCCCTTCAGATGATACGGACCCACCCTCCCTTTGCGAACTGGTGCTCAGCTTGCTTCCGAAGACGGCATTGGTCACACTGAGCACGTGCATTCAAGGGAAATACCCAAGGCCTGGGGGTGAAACTGCCAAAGATTAGAGGGAGCAAGGCATAACACCCAGAGAGGGCCAATGCACCTCCCAGGGGGATTTTTTAAAAACTCATAATTCTTCCTCTACCTCATAAATTGTGTACCCTTTGGCAAGTATTCCAATTATCTGTGTTTCAGTTTGTCTTTCAAATGAACTAAGTAAATGCACTTACCTCCAACAGTTGGTGTAAGCACTTAAGAAGTCACACACATAAACAGCTTAGAATAGTGCATGACACCTGTTAAGCATTAGCTATTATTATCCAACATATTTGGGATTGGCTGGTTAATTGGAAAAGTTTATTAAAGTGGGGAATCACCAAAAAAAGAAACATAAATACACTAGAAGAGGTTACTTGTTGTTTCCCAATGTTTTGCCCTTTCCTTGTGGAGTAATTGGGATAGCCTCTGAAGTGCTACCCAGGAATCGCGGCCTCCTGGTACTCATGCCTTTGTGTCATGCCCTCCCCTTGAGTGTGGGCTAGACCTAGCGGCTTGCTTCTCACAAACGGAATACAGAAGTGATGGAATGTCTTTCCGACATTAGGTTACAAGAGGATTCTGGCTTCTGTCTTGTTCTCTCTCTACCTGCTGGGAGGGAAGCCAGATGCCAGGCTGTGAGCTGCCCTATACAGAGGACTTCACGGCAAGGAGCGTTTCTCTAGCAATAGCCAACAAAGACTTGTTGGCTGCCAATGGCCATGAGGGAGCTTGGAAGTGAGCCTCCCTGGTAGAACTGTGAGATGACAGCAACCCTGGCCAGTCCCTTGGCTGTGGCTTTCTGAGAGATCCAGAGGCCAAGGACCCAACTAAGTTGCATCCAGATTCCTGACCCACAGCAACCGTGAAGGAAATGTTTCTTGTTTTACGCCTCTAGTTTTGGGGTAGTTCATTACGAAGCGATAGATAACCCTTACAACTGTGAAATGTTTATAAATAACTATGTTATAGGTATGCTATAATGCATACACTAAATGTTAGTGATTACTAAATGGTGTAACAGTGGTTAGAAACTGATAGCTGAACAGATAGACCACATTTCTAGCCTCCATAATTGATGTGGCCCTATGACTGAGATGTAGCTAACGGATTGTGACAGGTAATGTGTGGAGTTTTCAGACCAAGGCTTTTAAAAAGTGGCTATGAATGCTCCTCGTTTCCTAGTTAAGACACAGAAAAGTATAATAATGGTGGAGCTATAAGATGGAAAATCCTGAATCACTATGTGGAAAAATGCTGCCCACTGACTACGTTCACTCATTTCAACTACTATGTGAGAAATAAGTTTCTATTGTGTGTGAGTCATTACAGTTTGGAGGTTTATTTGTTACTATAGGCAACTATGCTAGTTAACACTCTTCCGTGAAAGCAAATTAAACTTCCCTCTGAAGTAAATCATTATTTTGAGTCTCTGTCACATGAAACGTAATACATCCTTATTGATATATATGAATATGTAATATTAACATATACATCTTTTATATATGTGAATATATACCTTATTAATACACATACCTTAAGGATTTTATTTTTTTACTTACTTATTCTGCAGTCATTAAGCCTTTTTTAGTTTTTGTAAAGATTTTATTTATTTTTAGGGAGGGGAAGGGAGGGAGAGATACATCAATGTGTGACCTTGCTGTGTAAAGGAACAGGCCTCTTCAGTTTTGACCCCTTTACCTTCTGTCTTTTGGTTTTGTTTTCTCTATAGCATTCATCACTATGTGGCATTGTATTATATATTTACTTGTTTACTCTCCCTTCACTAGTATATACACTTCACGAGGCAGGGCTTTATGTCTCTTGATCACCAATATATATCATGTGCACGGAACAGCGGCTGGCATGCATCAGCCATTCCACTGAATACACAACTGAATGGCTTGTTCACATTTGTGTTGCAACCAGACACGTAGGCAGGCGTTGTAATCGCTTATCTTTGAATTCCTTGGCACTGGTTAGATATGACATAACTTCGCAAATAATGAATAAATACATTATTATTAACATTGTTCCTGGACAGAAACGGCTGCATCCTATAATGTTCTATTAACACATTTAAATTAATCTTTAAAACAAGTCTATTCTCTAGGGGTTAGTTTATTACTACTTTGGGGTGGCAAGAGCAGGTTGCATTATTTTCAAACCTTGGGAACTTCTAATTTCAAGAATAAAAGACCCCCAGTGTATACCTAATGATACAAGGCTATTCAAAATATTATATTTGAAATTTGCTTATAATTTCAATCTCAGATTTCTCATTCTTTCAAGTCTGTTATTTTTAAATGTAAAAATTAAAGGGCAAAATATATGTGTGGACCAAACAAACCACATAGGCAAGATTTATCCTACAGCAGCCACAAATCTGGAATCTTTGTACTATGTAAATACCTTTTAAACTGTATTTTTATTTTGCTCAGATATGGATATAAAAATCTTAATCTAAAAAATTAAAGAATGAAATATGAACAGAAACAAAGGAAAGAAATGTGACTCAGAAAATAGGAGGCAATTTTACAATATATACAAGTATGAAGTTTTGTTCGCCTGACACTGACGTTACACAGTCTGTGAAAGTCGAGGGCCCGCTGCAGATGCGGAGAACAAAGCCGACACGCGGGCTCTGACTGCGGCCAACGCTCTCCCCTTACACCGCAGCACTTCTTTTGAGCCCATGAGGAAACGGAAATGGTTTCTCCCAAACTTAGTCATCTCCTATATTCATGCATTTTCTTCTATTTATCACTCGAAAGGGCGCAAAATGAAACGGCTAGTCATATTTTCTCCTGACTGGTCAAGTTCCCCAAGCCGCCGAGCTCAACTTGACCAGACGTCAAAATCGCTCTCAAATGCAGCCTCCCGGGCCTCCCAGGGCTTCCGGCGCGGCTGCGAGACCTGCGTTTCCAGTCGCCGCCTGGGCGGGGAGAATCGCCGCACTGAGGCGCCCAGGAAGTCCCATCACAGGGGTGATCACCCCAACGCACGTTTGGCAAAAGCTAATAACCACAAAAATAAAAACTACACACTCCCACACAAAAGAAAACCTCCAGGAACCTACAGCACTCCCGGGAGGCCGTCTAGATTTGCCTGGAAGGTATTTGCGCTGCCTTCTTTCGAGAGCGGAAACGCCCCCGGAGAGCACCTCGAAGGAAGTGTCACCTATTCCCCTCAGGGTGGAGCATCATTTGTAGGAACCTATTAACCATAAATACGGTACACCTGCTTGGTACAAGACTCTGAGACACAGACACCGGCGCCACGTACAAAGAAAAGAAACAACCACCCGAGAAGGTAGGTTCCACCGCCTAAATCACTCCCCGCCCTTTCTCGAGTCTGGAGAAAAGGGGGGTGTGGCCAAGAGAGCGGCGATCATGTGACCACGGTGAGCCCCGCGGTGAGCCCCGCGCTGCCTAGTCGCGCGATCTACCGTCACATCAGCTTATGGCTCGGGCCCCTGATTGGCTGGCGGCTCCTGCCTCTCTGAGCTTGGGTTCTAGCTCCGCCCCTGCGGGCAGCGCCCGCTATTTGGCCGCGGCGGTCCGCAGACTCGAGCGTTCTGTGACCCCGCAGCAGTCGGGTCTGCGGCGGACCATCGTCCCCTAGGTAAGGATGGCATGAGGGCGGGGAAGGAGGCAGACCGGTGCTGGACCGGAGAGGAGAAGAGGAAGAGGGGATGGAGAGAAACAGCCTGAGGAGGCCCAGGCGGGGAAGTGGAGAGAGCACCTTGCCCTTTCTTTCCCAACGTGCCACAGGCGTTTATTGAGTGCATGTTAGATGCCAGGCACGGGGCAGGCGCTGGGGTATGGGACTCCTGCACCTACCCGTAGCACGAATTGGCAGGTCAGGGGACACCCTGAAAACGCAGGCTGCGAGGGCTGTGATGGGGCCGCTGCGGGGCGCCGGGGGCGCGAGTTGGCCCCGGCTTGGACGGACGGGCGTTGAGGCCGGAGACTAGGTAGGGGCCGCTCCCCGGCTCAGAGCGCGAGGAGGCCTGGGCGTGGAGGAAACTGACGCACGGATGGACGTGAAGAACGTGAAATATTTGTTGAGTGTTGCGGATCTCTCATCCAAGCGAAGTCTGTCCACTGTACACTAATGTTTTACTTTGAGACGGATTTCCCTCGGTTCTTGGAGGAATATCATTTCGTTTGTTTTTTGAGGGGCAAAGGAATTAGGCTGAAGAACTAGCCAGTGTCTGTGACTTCTTAAACGTCACAATGCGAGCCTCAGTTACCAGCAGTGTAACCAGGGTGGGGGCGGGGGACAACAAGCCACGGTTTGAGAAGATTAGAAAAGGAAGGAAATAATCTATTACGTTAGCATCGTAAAAGGAAAAATCATGTCTACTACTGTTCCTGTGTAATAGCAGAGTAAATCTGGAGGTAATACAGAAAAAGAAATTACTTAGTTTCCAAACTGGAGAGTTTGTGGGAGCTGGGTATTTTTAGCCAAAACTTGGTAGCCTACCTGTCTTTGCATCACCTTCCTTTCTTTTTTTTCCTCTTCGTAATGATAAACACCTACCAATAGTAAGTACATGACCCTTGATCTTTAAAGAGTGCTTGTCCATTAATTATGTATTGTAATTAATATTGGATACACGATTCCCCAGGTGCATATATGACAATATATTGAGAAATAATACAATGTAATAGCTAAGTGAACAGGCTCTGGAATATACATAGCAGCTGTTACTTGTTACTGAACAAGTTATTTAGATACCCCTTACGTCAGCTTCCTCACCTATAAGATGGAGGTTATAGAATACCTACCTCATAGGGTTACACGACTTAAACAATGAAATACATAAAAAGTGCTTTAAAAAAAGTGCTTTAAAAAACACTTGGTTCTTAGTAAATGTTAGCTATCAACTATACTCTTAAGGTAAAGCAAAATGGTAACTGTAGACTAGTATTTCTAAGCCTAATTTTGTTTTATTGATAACTATGTTTTAAGAAAAGTTGTGGGTTTTTTGGCATTAGGTTAAGGTAGTTTGGACTTAGCTTTGCCTCCCATTACAGTAATAATAATAACTCCTATTTATTAACTACTTTTCTCTGCGTCCATCCCTGTCTAACCCAGTCTACTAGCTCTCCCAATAGTTCCCATGTCCATTTGTCCGACAATGGAGGGAAGGTACGGTCCACCCAACCGAGAAGGTATATTAAGACTACAGAATGAAAACAGGGAACTCTGTTGATTATAACAATTAATTGTATAGTAATTTACTTCGAGGAAGATTTGGATGAACAGAGAACCCAGCACTCTGTGCAGATTATTCTCCACTGCTATAGGGAGAATAGTTGTTATAGGAAATGTTTTTTAGTATAGCTAAACTACTAATGACTGACACAACACAGAGACAAAAATGTAGTACGAGCCAGGATTCATACCTCCTTGCGGTCTTATGATGGATAATTGCCTACAGTTGACACTAGCACCTAGTTTGATAAAAATCTCAGTTGCTATGCCATTCTGGCCTTTACTGATAGGAATCTTTATGGCTACATTGTGTAAGCCTACGGGTCACAACTAATTATTAACTATGAGGCTTTGGTGCTGGATGAGGCTAGTTAGGTCAGGGTTCAGAACATGAATGCTAGAAGGACATCAGAGCCACACAGATAGGGAATGAGCTTTGTTTACATCTCTACCTATACAATACTGTAGTAATCCCACCATCTACTCGGGCAAACTAGGAATACTGCAGTCACCTTAGATTTTTCTCTCAAGTTCCAATATCTAACCAGTCATCAAAGCCTATTGGATTTTTCACTTGATGTAGCTCTGAGGAATATGTCTGTTCTCTCACCTTCTTTGGGTTAGTTTACCACAGGAGCAACCAAACTAGTTTTCCTGCTTCTCATCAATTCTCCATATGCCTGATGGAATGGCTTTTGTGAAACATGGGTATGATTATACCACTTTCCTACTCAAATATCTTTGGTTTCTCCCAATCATGTATGGAGGTCCAAATTCCTCGGCAGGGCATCAGATCCCTTCACAGTCTAACACCAGTTTCTATTTGCCAGGCCCATCCTGGAGCAATTTTTCCCCTTCCGTTTATCCTGTCTCTCTGTTTGTCACTCACCGACCACACCCAGTGAGCCATGAATGTCCTGTGACCTTTCCGTGCCTTTGCAGTTGTTACTGTTTGAAATGGCTATCCCTAACCTTTTCTTTATAGTAATGTGCTTGAAAGCCCAAATCCAATGTTTTCATTATGAGCCTTCCACTGTAAGCTGAGGTAGTTGTATTGTCTTTTCTAATTTCATAGAATTTGCTTACATTCCTTTATTAAAGCACTTGTCATATTGATGTAATTATTTGTTTCTGTATTTGCTTTACCATTAAGATGGATTTAAGTAATGCCTTTTTTAATTATGTTTTCTTGATTATGCTGTTACAGTTTTTCCAATTTTTCCCCCTTCACCCGCCTCTACCCAGCACCCCCGATTGCCTCAGGCAATCCCCACAACATTGTTCATGTCCACAAGTCATGAGTGTAAGTTCTTTGGCTACACCATTTCCTATACTGTAGTTTACATCCCCATGGCTATTCTGTAACTACCTATTTGTAGTACTTAATCCCCTCACTTCTACACCCATTCCCCCAAACTCTCTCCCATCTGGCAATCATCAAAACACTCTCAATATCCATGATTCTGTCTCTGTTCTTCTTGCTTCCTGAGTTTTTCAGATTCAGTTGTTGATAGGTACGTATTTATTGCCTTTTTATTGTTCATAGTTTTGATCTCCTTTTTCTTAAATAAGTCACTTTAACATTATTCCATATAATAATGGTTTGGTGATGATGAACTTCTTTAGTTCTTTTCTTGACTGGGAAGCTCTTTATCTGCCCTTTGATTCTAAATGATATCTTTGCTGGGTAGAACAGTCTTGGCTATAGGTCTCTGCTTTTTATGACTTTGAATATTTCTTGCCAATCCCTTCTAGCCTACAAAGTTTCTTTTGAAAAAATCATATGATTGTCTTAATTGGCACGCCTCTGTAGGTAACTAACTGCTTTTCTCTTGCAGCTTTTAAGATTTTCTCTTTAACTTTGGCATTTTAATTATGATGTATCTTAGTGTGGGTTCATCTTGTTTGGGACTCTCTGTGCTTCTAGGACTTGCATGTCTGTTTCCTCCACCAAGTTAGGGAAGTTTTCTGTCATTTTTTTTTCAAATAGATATCCATTTTTTGCTCTTTCTTTTCTCCCTCTGGCACCCCTATGATGTGAATGTTGGAACGTTTGAAATTCTCCCAGAGGCCGCCTAAACTATCTTTGTTCTGTTTTGTTTGCATTCTTTTTTCTTCTTGTTCTGATTGATTTCTGTTTTTTTCTTCCTTATGTTCCAAATCATTGATTTGATTCTAGGCTTCATCCACTCTACTGTTGATTCCCTGTAAATTGTTCTTTATTTTAATCAGTGAACCCTTCGTTTCTGACTGGACCTTTTTTATGCTGTTGAGGTCCTCACTAAGTTCCTTGAGCAGCCCTGTAACCAGTGTTTTGAACTCTGCATCTGATAGGTTGCTTATCTCCATTTTGTTTAGTTCTTTTTCTGGAGTTTGATCTGTTTCTTTGTTTCTCCATTTTGGCAGGCTCCCTGTGTTTGTTTCTATATATTAGGTAGAGCTGCTATGACTTCCTGTATTCCCTAATGTAGTAGGTGTCCTGTAGGGTCCAGGAACACAGCATCCCCTATCAACCAAGCTGGGTACTCGAGGTGCGCCCTCTGTCTGGGCTGAGAACATCTTCCTCTTGTAGTTGAGCCTTGATTGCTGTTGGCAGATCAATGAGAGGGATATACCCAAGCCAGTCAGCTGCAAGGACTGGCTGACACCACTGAGCACCAGCCTCTGCCCTCCGTGGAGGATCCACTGTGCAGAGGGGCAGGATGGTGATGCTCTTATGTGGTCAGTAGCTGTCCACTGGGTGTGCGTGCTCTGGGTTTTCCCAGGTGGTGCAGAGCAAGGTCATCTTCCACCTGTGTTCTGCTTGGGACCACTCAGCATGAGCTACAAAACAATCTGAGATGGCTGCTGCTAGTGTTGGGCCTGAAGCCACTTAGCAAGAGGTACCAATCCTGGGGGCTCATTGAGATCAGCTGGTGCTTGTTTGAGAGGATTTAGGAAGATATGAAGGATGAGCCATGACCAGCCATTCACATGGAGAAACCACTGTTAACAGGTTGGGTCTGGGCCCATATTTTTGGTGGGACGGAGCCTCAGGGAAACACCAAGGCAGGGCAAACAGTATGAACCAGGTTGATGGAGTCACGGAGTCTTACATGTGGCTCCGGCCTGGTGGCTCTGTGGCTCTGTGGCTCTGTGATGGGGGTGGCTCAGAAAAGGAATGGTGGCCTCTGCCCACCATTCTGTTTGGGAGAAAGCTGTCCCCCAGCTCTCACCCTGATGCCAGACACTTCAGTTCCTCCCCATATGCCTGGTGCTAAAAGCTCAAGGGGAGTGAGTCTGAAGTCTCTGTGCAGGTCTTTTAAGAGGAACTGCTTGGGAATCCAGAAGTTTCTTCCACTGACTCAATCCCCATTGGTTTTTGCAGCCAGAAGTTATGGGGACTTATCTTCCTGGCACTG